TGCCAAGCTCACCCAAACTGTAGACTTGTGAATGAAACAATGAACTGCTGGACCATGCCACTCAGTTTTGGAGTAGTTTGCCCATAAAGCAAAAGACGCTGGACCACTGCCCAACATTACATCCCCCTAATCATCTCAAGATGAAAGCCTGAACATACCAACCCCACTGCCTCATAACTAAGCGGATCAAATCTGTTATTTGTATGGTTCAAATGGCCACGGAGGACAGAAACAAACACACACACACCGCCAGGCACCTGAAAACTCTTCGCTGCTTTATTAGGATGCACCCACAGTACAGAGCCTCTCACATGGCTGTGAAAGGGGAAGGTTACATTTCTCTTTGGGAGCACCTTCATTTTTGTTTCTGTTACCACTTTGAAGAAAGTAAATCATTTTTCAAAGAAAGACATCTTAAATTCCAAGTGTTTCAGATTCAGCTTGCATTTTGTTGTGTTTGAAAAGGAAGTAGCATATTTTAGCCAGAGCTGGAAGATTGTTTTGTGGCATTTGAACTTTGATGTGGATCAGAAGTCTTCACTGTCTGGTTAAACCAGTCTATAATTTTCATATGCAACTTTTCATATCAAAAGTGTTTCATTTTTACCTCTGCCGACAAACAGATGCTGTTTTAAACACACACACACACACACACACACACACACACACACACACACACGCGCACACACAATTAAATTGAAAACCAATACGAACCACGGCATTTCTAACAGGGAACATAAACTTTTGCTGCCCTCTCCTGCTAAAACAACAGAATACTACAATACCAAAAGATTGATGAGGCTAAAGCGAAATTTTCAAACGAAAACCAATGGATATGTCATTCTCACGAGACCTCAATCAAAAATCAGACAACAACCAGAAAATGTATTGGTAATATTTATATTTGAAAGTTCCCCATTGATACATGAGGTCTGGATTACAACTTATTTACAATAAGTGATTTCAAAAAAAAAAAAAAGTAAAGAAAGAGAAGGAAGGGAGGGAACGGAGAAGGTAGAAGGGAAGGAAGGCAGGAAGGAGGCAGGGTGGGGCGGGGGAAGGGTGGGAAGGAGGAAGGGAAGAAAAGGAAACCTATATTCATAGACATCATAAACTGGGATGTTTATTTCCAAGAGAGAGATTACTGCTGCTATCGTGCACAGGAAGCAGCACAAATTAACATTCCACTAGATCAAAATTTGCTCAACTTTCTCTCAAGATGCACAATCCTTTTAGATTTTCAAAATTAAATACTGAGAAATATAAAACACGTTGCCAATATGCCTACTACAAAAATCCTTTGTGGGTCACTCCTTAACTTCACTCAGAGAAGCAGCTGAGCCAGAATATAAAAATAAAAATATTGATGTGCAAATAAAACACCACTGATCATGTCTGGTGCCACCTTTTTGCTACAGGTGACACAACTTTGTGATAACATTGGTAATAGCATCAAAAGAGAGAATCTCTTCACTTCCTGGGCCAGCTCAGTGCACCTAATTAAAGGCAAAGGACAAAACAGAAGGGGGAAAAAAAAACACAGAAAAACTCTGAAGACTTAAAAATGCCAGTAACATCCATACATCTTCCCTTTCCCACCCCCCGATCCCCACAAAAAAATAAAAAAGCTTTTAAAGCTCTAAATATACTTTTTTTTTTTTCTTTCCATAGTGTGATTGAGCCTAGGGCTATACATTTCTGTATAGCAGGTGCAATTACAAGCAATTCCTGGCTCTTTCCTGGACTGTCCCACGCATAGAAGGAGGTACAAAATAAATTAAACCCTTCCATTTAGGCAAGCAAGCCCAAGATGAAGGAGCATAACCCTGCTTGTGAGTATCCAGCGGCATCGAGGGTATTAGTTATTTCTTACTTTTTTTATTTTTTATTTTATTTTATTTTTTATAAAAAACAGTCAGATGTCAGGGAGAGCAAAATATAATAAAATTTAAAGGAACAAAAACGCAACACGGGAGGGAAACAACTGGGGACCACTTGCACAACGAGAAAAGGAATGCATGCTTGATTCAAAGTATGAGATGGGTCAGTTCACTCACATGGTTGTTCTAGGCCCGCAGCCTAAGACCTCGGCATCATTCTAAAACCACAGGGTTTGGTTTAATTTCGTTTTTTGTTTTTTTCTTCCAAAGACACTCTTTATCCTATCCCTGAAACCAATATGGTAGGGATGAGGCTGGAGTGATCGTCACTCACTAACTACAATATTTGCTATTTAAAAAATATATTTATATATAGTTCTGGAAATTATGAAGCCAACAAAATAGAACACAAAGATGCATTTGTCACAATTAAGTCAGGCTGCAACAACAGCAGAAATGTGGGAAAGGACAGAGAGAGGGGGCTGCTGTGAATGCAGCAAGTACGGCCTTAACTATGTCACAGAGTGCAACAGTCAGGTCACCTCGGTTACTCTGCGCCACCGGACACAACATGACAGATGTCACATTGTCACTTTCGGTTTAAAAAAGGAAAGACAGCGTTTCTTCTCAGAAGTTGCCCTATACATTTTAGACATAAATTTATAATTGCTTCTGTACATATGTCTAAAATTCGGCTTTGTTCTTCTCAGTTTGGAATGGTCAACGTCCAGATTTAACATCAAGGGTATCTGTGCAGTCCTCACCTTTGCTCGGAGGCAGGGAGAGGTGCACGACAGGATCCTCGTTTTTCTCATCGCAAATGACTGCATTTCGTTGTAATGGGCAGAGAGTTCATGAACCAGGGATTTTAAACGTCCTCTATCTAAAAAGATGAATTAATGGCAAACAAGTTTATACTGTCAAAAACAAATGTAATGCAGACTCAAAACTAACGGGGCTCAAATCAAAAGAGCTAAAGGAGATGATTTGTTACAAATTTATTTTTTATCTTTAGTGTTTGAACTTGCACCTTTGCTCCAGCACTTTTAAAGTAAGTTGTTTCATTTCAGCAGCCTCTGCCAGCTTTACATTGAATCCCCATTAATGTTCTTTAAAAAAAAAAAAAAAAAAATCTTCATTCAATTAAACCATGTTGTGTTGGGTGTTGCATATGACTCTTTTACTGCTGTTTCTTTTTCAGAATTAACATAGCCAAGTTTTGTTTTTGTTTTACAAAGTTACTGAGATGACAATATCCATAATTAGCAGACTTTTTTTACGCACAAACTGTGACCTGATAATCCTGAAACACTTAATAGGGGAGAAAGGTCAGCGGCTTTTATTTTCCTTTTTTCTTGGAAACGATAAAACTGCATATTCTACTTTATATTTAAGTGGAAGGAAGAAAATATACAAGTCCATATTGATATTATATTTCTATTAAGAGCAACAACATTTCATATGTTCATGTTTGCTACTATCACAATTCAATACATGAACACAGAATCAGCCCTATGCCACGAATACTGCTGGAGGTGAAGGTTTAGGATTATCAACTCACTGCTGCCACGTCCATAACAAGCAAAAGCATCCTGAAAATAAATTCCAAAACACGTATCTGTCAGTACATAATAATGCAACCGCATCAGGTTAAGTACATACTGGACACAATTTTCATCAGCATCTTATCTCCCCAAGATGTAGTAAGATTCCTCTTTTAAATACAAAGCAGAGAGCCAATAAGGTATAGATCTATAATACAGCCCTAAATTTTGTTTTTGTTTTTTTCTTAAACAATTTGGTCACAATGCACCTTTGATATAAAAGCATTTTTAAACTTTATTATTAATACTCAGGACATTAGGGATTTCCAGATTTTTTTTTTCAGTAGCATTTGTAGAACCACTTTTGGTAACAAATACAGTAGTTAGGAATACGCATCCAATTCAGAATGCATAATAATGTTTATCCTGAATCCTTTCTGGCTAAAAACAGGGCTGGCGCTATGATGAGATATAGAACGAGAATCTACAAAAAACACTGTAATATGTTTGTTTTTTCCCAGAGGCTACATCCTCTTTTGCTGGAATACTTTATAAATACATATTAAAAAGTAAGGCAACAACTCCAAACAGTCCAAGCTGTTTGCTCAACTCTCTTCCCAATTAGATTCACAATCCTGGTGATCAATCTCATGGTTGTACTGTTTAGTGTTTGTCTTTCTTATTACAAAATGGTCCAAAAGGATGTTTTCTGACATTTCTCAAACATCTCTGGTATGTGTGTTCAATGATGGATGCAACTAATACTGGTCAGGTACTGAAGCCTATGATGTCCCAGTACCTGTTTTCAAAGGATTCAAGACATTGATTTGGATCCACCATAACCTGGATGCATGAACCCAAAATTCCCTTCCCTACTATGTTTATCACCTCTTCTCTTTTACTCCTAATTTTAAAACTAAAGGAGTACCAGGACTACCTGGTTACTGGAAAGATGTTCACTCCAGTAAACAAAACTTTTACCAGGGACCTTCACAATTCATGGCCCCCTTCCACATGGACATTCAACTCATGAAGATGTGCAAAAGGAAAAGATGTTAAATTACAGTCAAGTTACCCAGAGGAGGATGTTATACAAACTGATAAGGAAATGACAGTTTTTTTTTCTTCCATTACTATAAATACATTTAACAGCTTAGCAGAAAGACAAGCTAAATTTAAGATTGTTCACATTTGAAAATTGTTTCATACTCTCTGCTAAGGATAAATAAGGAACTCCTGATAATAGAATTTTAACATAGCAATTTCATCAACAGATCTCTGAAGACTGTTTTTTGTTTTTTTGTGTTTTTTTGTTTTTTTTTTTTAAAGAGGGTTAGAACAATGATTATGTTTGCAAAGTTCTGAGAAGTCCATCTACTGTCCAAACTTTGGACTGAAGTCCTTTTTTTTTTTTCTTTTCCTTTACTTAGAGACAGGTATATACAGTGCTGTTGTAATAATGAAACAAATGTGAAATCTACTGCAAAGGTGCACAATACAGAAAACTGTTCCTCCCATCTTCTACTACATAAATGTGTGACTCCACAGGTTAGTGATGCGGCTGTCGTTATTTCTGTTAAGTTGGAATTATGCCATCACGTCTAAGACCTCTCTTTAATTCCAGATCCTCCAGTTTTTTCCACAATTCTTCACGTTCCTTTTCTTTCTTTTTCTCACTGGGGAGAAAACAGAATACAAGGTAAACAACTAGGAAGGTCGGAAACGATTACCTAACCCTAACTGCCCCTACTCTTCCCCATGTACATTTTAGAAGTAGTCTTTGAAAAGTTTGGTGTTAAGCCTGTGGGTATTTCTTCATTTCGGTTTTTCTCTTGCTTTTTTTTTTTTCTTCATACTTACATACACAGAAACATTGTATTAATGTACTGAGCAAGAGATGACAAGACTATTTTAAGATTTCAAATCAATATTCGTTTTTACTTAGCCTAACAATGAAAGTTAACTTCAAAACGACCAAGAAACAAAAATAGAGGTCACTTCTATGTATCCATTATCTTAAAGGTCCAAAGACGCATTAAGCGATTTTTATTGGGGATCTAGTTAAAATCTAATTTTCTCTTTGCCTCCAAAGAGTTTCTCAAAAGGGATGCTAGGGATGATACTGATGCAGAGCAAGTAGTAGGTCAAGAAAATATACTTTCCCTTTATTATTATCTATTTTCCCTACACCATGTGTAGTAAATCCTTTAGCAGAATCTTGTTCTTGCAAGTATTAATCAACCACAAAATCCATGTTATTAACTTATTCTATACCTATATATACAACCAAATAAAATGTTCTTTCTTTTGTGACTTGAGTTGTAACGATCTGGAAGGAACTTCGTTGACAGTATCATGAATCAAATTTTTAATGTTCCAAGCCTTCAAATTTGGCTCACTACCAATTTGACTGGTAAATTTGATAAATTTTACTAAAAAACTGGACGTCCAAAATAGGGTCAACACATTTTTTTTGCCAAGGACCTTTTATATCACCGTATTTTGATAAAAGAAAGGATGTTAATTTTAACATCAACCAGATAGAAAATACAAAATCAAGGAATATAGGACTATACCGTAAATTAAGTACATTCCCATTTATTAAAAATAACCACTGCTATCCCTAGCTTTCTCATACTGTGATGAACCAGTAAACAGCAGACTCAGGTAAGAGTTGTGAATCTGATCCTTCCTGAAAGTGGGGGCCCTGCCATCTCAGCCACGGGGATATGGTCCCTGTGCCACTTTAGCTAGCCAGGCCTTAACCTCAGTTACAGTACAGTATGCACTCAGGGAAATCCACACAGGTTAAGTGAAAGCTGTATATAATTCCAATGCCTCATATTTTTTAATGTCATCCCCAAGTTTTAAAAAAGTATTTGATATCTACGGCCATACAAATTAACCCCAATCTTTAGAAGTACTTAATTTTATATTCTCATTCTACTAGTCTTGAGGAAATATTTGATTCTGTAGTATAATAATTAATATTATCATTTCATAATTAATATTTTGATAATTTAGGCCTTTATACTATGACTAGTGTCAGCTGTTTCAAATACAATCTGCACAATATGAATTCCAATGGGCATAACAATTTTTCCAACAGGTCTCTATCCGGTAATTTTGACTCTAAGAATTATATCTGCAGGGCAATAGAGACTAAATTAGATGATCCTCCAATCATGAATTCCAAATTCTTAACTGTAAGTAAGCTGTTTGGTAAATTAATCATTTTTGGTTTTTCAGTAAGGTTTAGGAATAATATTAGGTCTAAATAAATGTTACCATAGAACACTGATGGCCTTTCATTTGGAGGGGGAAAAAGGTGTTAAGCAAGGGTTTAGGAACTTTTTAATTTTTAAAATTATTTATTTATTTTGAGAGAGTGTGTGTGAGCAGAAGAGGGGCAGGGAGAGAGAGAGAGAGAGAGAGAGAGAGAGAGAGAGAGAGAGAGAGAAAGAAAGAATTCCTATTAGGTTCCTCAGGTTCAGTGCAGAGCCCGACACAGGGCTGGAACCCACAAAACCATGGGCCACCCAGGGGTCCCAGGAACTCTCTCTGACTAAAACACAGGTTAAACATATGTTAGGTTCACACTGTCCTAATTTGAACTTTAAATTAAGTGCTGACGTCATTAAAACACCCATCATCTTGTTCCTGAAGCATTTCATTCACATCTCTGATCAAGAGTTGTATGGCTGGGGCGCCTGGGTGGCTCAGTCGGTTAAGCATCCAACTTTGGCTTAGGTCACAATCTCACGGTTCATGGGTTTGAGCCCCGGGTCAGGCTCTGTGCTGACAGCTCAGAGCCGGAGCCTACTTTGGATTCTGTGTCTCCCTCTCTCTCTGCCCCTCCCCTGTTCACACTTTCTCTTGGTCTCTCAAAAATAAATAAATAAACGTTAAAAAAATAAAAGTTTTATGGCATTCAATACAATTTGTCCTGTGGAGCTTTCTTCCAGATGAGTTTTATGCTGACTTATTTAACATCTTTTATACTGACAACTTTACCTTCAAATATTCTAAATATTTCTGATGTAGTTTACTGTCATTCCATTCTTTCCTACTTTTTTCTCTCTCTGTAGGTGGGAATTTTAAAGCTTAACCATACTGTCATGCTAGGATTACTGTCAAATTCTCTTCCAATTTCAATTTCACATCGCACTAATGTTAGCATATGCATATAACAATGTTAGTTATTTCTTCCACTCACCATTTCCAGATTTGTAATACTTAAAAAATTTATCTAAACTGAAACACTTAAACTTGGTGCCATCCAGAAGTAAACTCTTCCATTTAGCTCTTCTCTAATAGTAGCAAATAAATCTCTTTCTTCCCTTTCCCTAGTCTCACATCCAGGGAGCAGCCAACGTTTCCATCTATTCAGTACAATCTTCTATTGATCGTTTAACAAAACATTACCCTTACTTTAAAAAAGTCCTTCTTTCATTAAAAAAAGTCCGGGGGCGCCTGGTTAAGCGACTGACTTCGGCTCAGGTCACGATCTTGCCGTTTCCGAGTTCGAGCCTCGCATCAGGCTCTCTGCTGACAGCTCAGAGCCTGGAGCCGGTTTCAGATTCTGTGCCTCCCTCTCTCTCTCTGCCCCTTCCCCACTCGTGCTCTGTCTTTCTCTCTCAAAAACAAATAAAGGTTAAAAAAAAATTTTTTTTTTTTTTTTTTTTAAAGTCCGCTCATGGTAAGTCACTCTAATACACCAGATCTTCAGAATCAACTTCACCAAGTCTATTCCTGGGCCCCTTGGTCAATAGGTATCTTTTTCAAGGATTTGGTCTATTTAGTTTAAATGATAAGCTACTAAAATTCAATACATATGAATTAATTTAATTCAATTTGAATATTTTAGAAATAAGGTCTTTATTTCTCTTAATGGGATTCTACAGATTTTTATTTCATCCTTATTGAAAGAGGATAATAATTACGGGTTTTCAGTTGCTATAAAAGAAAAGGACATTATGTAAAACACACTCTTTAATGGTACGCCACAGTATGAGAATGGGCCCTTTATTTCCTCTACTTAAATAACACTTTTAAATAAAGACTTTAAGAGTTTGAGCCAAGGAGGGTTATAAACGTAATAATTTACAACAACTGTAAACAGTTAAATTGAAAGTTCCTTAAATTACAAGTACGGCACAACATATCCCATAAGTGATATTTATCCCAATATTGTATAAAATACCCCAGCCTCTTCTGCCTACAGGTAAACCACTTGCCATATTCCATAATTAAATTTGCTTTTCAATATAACCACATTCTGGTAATTTTTTGAAAAAAATCACTATGATAGTCCTCTGCCCCGCCACCAAACCTTTCCCCTCATTGCTCTTTTTATCAGTAAAATGTAAGTAACGCATGCAAAATCAGGCAAAGCAAAGAAGCAAGGGAACCACACAAAGCTCTGTTCAGGAGGTTCAGCAAGGTCTTGGGTCTGAATGCTCGTACACACCCCTGGGATCTTCTAAAGTCCATAGTATACAAAGTCCATACTATACAAAGCTGACATTTGCTTCTGGATCAAAGCGAAACCAGAAGCCCAACTACTAACAAGCTCTCTAGACCTTCCTCAAGTTCTCCAAGTATATCGATGTCAAGGTCTGAATATTTGCATCCCATCCTGCCCAAAATTCTTAGGTTGAGATCCTCACCTTCAAAGGTGATGGGTTCAGTAGCTACCCTCTGGGGAGAAGATTAGGTCATGAAGGCGGGGCCCTCATGAAAGGTATTAGTGACCTTGTAAAAAAGATCCCACAGAGATTCTCTGTCCCTTCTATCATGTGAAGACACAGTGAGAAGGTGCTGGCTATGAATCAGAAATGAGGGCCCTTATCTACCATGCTGGCACCATAATCTTGGCTTCCTGCCTCCAGAACTCAGAGAAATACATTTCTATTGTTTATAAGCTACCCATAGGGGCGCCTGGGTGGCGCAGTCGGTTAAGCGTCCGACTTCAGCCAGGTCACGATCTCGCGGTCCGTGAGTTCGAGCCCCGCATCGGGCTCTGGGCTGATGGCTCGGAGCCTGGAGCCTGTTTCAGATTCTGTGTCTCCCTCTCTCTCTGCCCCTCCCCCGTTCATGCTCTGTCTCTCTCTGTCCCAAAAATAAATAAAAAACGTTGAAAAAAAAATTGAAAAAAAAAAAAAAAAAGCTACCCATAAAACACCCATATGTGGTATTTTGTTAGAGCAAACCAAACGGACCAAGATAAACCCTTTTAGAAAGTCGGACATGTTGAACAAGAAATAATGAAGTTGAAAAATCACATATAAATGAAATCAAGAAGGGCTTTACTAAGCCATAAGCATTTATGTAAAGAATTCAACTGGTTTTTGCTCCCTTTTGGTCACAAACATTTCAAAATTTGTATAATACCAGACTCTTCACCTCCATGTTCTTTTCACTGTCCTTTACGTCCTAATGAATTTGTTGTGTTCTAGAGCAGAAAGTAAGTTCTGGGCCAAAGAGCTAAACAAAAATGGTGCCTCACCCCTCTTGCTGGAGCGAAGTATACAAGATCTGCCCAATTCTAGCTCAAAGAGTCCAGAATGGGAGTGAACCCGGATGGCAAACTACCTGATGGATTCCTTAAATGGGCCCGAAATACCAGTTACATGCCAGGCCCTTAACTCTGAGGCAGAAGAGACACATGACTGAAGGGAAGGAGGAAAGCAGCCTTTCTCAAACTGACCCTTTGCTCCCTAGTGGCACACCAATAAAGACACAGCAAATGAGCATGCAAAAGTGAACACAGAAAGAAATAAACGTGTGTTGCTTATGATTTCGGGTGCGATCGGGCAACTGCGGCAAAGAGCAAGGAGAGAACTCAACAGTTTTGTGCACAGCTGACAAAAAAGCTTTAAAAAGTTACCGCTGACGATCTGACTTGTATGTGGCTGTCAGCTCATCAAACATGGTGCTGTTCATCTCCATAAATGCCTTCAACACATTATACACTAGCGCCACGATAGCCCTGGGAAGCACAGAGACAAGAGAACACGTTGGTTAGTCTTACATAATGGGAGCTGCATGGAAAGAGGGAGAGCGGAACCTGTGTCTGAACGAGCTCCTTGTACTGCAAAATCTCCATCCCTTTTCAGTTGCCACAACTAGAAACGACCTACAGTTCATTTCCACACCAAGAGAGTTCCATTCTTCACTGTTCCGGGCAAGATATCTTTCGGAGGGGTTGGCAGGATTAGAGAAAGAAAAATCTAATTCTGCCCTTCTAATTATTGGTACCCAGAATAGACTTGTCTGTGGGCACTTGTTAACTTCATTTAATACAAAGGCAAGAATAAAAATAAAGCAACTTCACCCTAAAAAGGAGCACCTGTGGTAGGACTAACCTTAGAGACCAGAATTTGCACAGAATTTTATTTTTAAAGTGATAATATACATAATTCATCAAAATCAAAAGCTGTTCTCATGGAAACAAATATGTATGTTATTCATATTCAAAGACAGGATACCGAACCCCTGTAAGTTGGGCAGTTTAATGAGTTGAGTTTCTAGTTGTGATCTAGTTCAGTCCATTCACTCCTGCTAAGTTCCCTTGCCAACCTAACACATGTGTTGCTGAGGTGACCGGCAAGCTGGTGATGGCTGCCGTTAGCTGTGGAACATAGCTAAATGGCCAAAATGGCGGCACATAGATTCATCAAGTGGAAGAATAAGCTCTTGACGTCTTCAGGACTATGCCCATGACGGGCTCGATATCTTCAGACTAGAGTCTAAACAGCACTGCCCTTTGCAAAAATGCCCATTACTTCTGTTTTGCAACAAATCTGCTACCAACACCACCGAAGAAGGCACTGGTAAAAGTCAGGCCATAGGTCAAAAAAAACCGTGGGTTTGATGCTTCCAAAACATAAATGTACCTGCTGTGTCGTTCTGCCCTGTGCCTATTAAAAGGAAAACTTAAGCTCCCTTCTGTTGAGGGAAATGACCTTCTCACATACAATGGATAGTGATGGACAAGAGCCAGATACAGTGCACTGAGCAGCTACAGACACTTGCCAAAACCACTCTCTACATCCCCAAGAGACTACCTGCATAATGAGAATTATTTACCAGTTCTTTATTTTTATGAGTTTTAATAACAAAATTTGGCAAATTTGAAAAATAAGAAATGTATATTTTACAGCTGTATGCAAAACTTCTAAACGCATACTAAGAATATACTTAATTACATCTTACTAATATCTAATACCACACTAAATTTTCTTTCTATTCCAGAGACACATGTAAAGCCATTCAAATACAGAATGCTTTAACCTTCATAGGACTAGATGTTAAACATATCCTTCAGTGATTTTAAACTTGTCTTCCTAGAGAACATTTGTAATGACAGACTTGGGTTTTTAAGAAATGGATCGTGCTAAAATGCAAATCAATTCAAAGCACTTTCCTTCTTAGGACTCCTTAGTATTTCCTTATCATCCACTGGTGAAGGTTCATGTGGGGAGGGAGGTGAACTCTCCCTTTCCACCCCATCTTCTAGCCACCTCCCCCAAAGACCTGGTAATTTAGCCCTCCCAAACTTGCAGGTTTCAGAACCTGACAGGTGCTTTTTATGTGTTCGTGCCTTTTAATGTGATGATGAGACTCACTATGAAAGGCTTCCCCGTCCCATCCACCTGCCACATTGCTTTAAGAATCCTTTTGAGCATTACCCCCTCGTCAATGTCAGCAACCCTCTCCTCTCACTTTAGACCACCCCCCAAAAAGCTCTGCTACATTCACAGACAAGTCAGGAGCCCCTCATGGAAGCAGAGATTTTAATGTAACTGCACTTAAAAAACACTGTTTTATAAAATATGTTTACTTGTGGGTCTCCCCAACCAGTTAGTGAATTTCTAAAAGACAGGAGTTTTCACATATCTGTCTTCACCAACAGGCACAGCATCTGGCACATGGCAAGACTTTATTAAGCAAAAGAGAAAGAGGGAGGGAGAGAGGGAAGGGCGAGGAGGGAGAATAGGAAGAAGAGGGGAGAAACTGAAAACCTACGGATTCCAATGTTCTTTTGAAATCCTATAAAGACTGGAAAACATGATGGGAAGGATGACATTCGAGTTTTCTTCTATCAAACTCATGATGTATTCATTATTCCAATAATACAGTGCCCTTTCCGCCACCTTTAAAAAGGAAAAGAAAAAGAAAATATTAAGAGAGCAAAAAATACAGATAAAACAAAATTAAAATCTCTCCAAACAAAAATATTTTAAGACTATTTTTATATCATTCAATCAAATGTGAAATTAAGTATTAATCACACTTTACATTGTTGTGGATTTCAAATCTTTTAGAGAGTTCCCAAAAGGTTCATCAATTAGGGGAAGGAAAAAAGTTTCCCTACCTATTATTTCTCTGTATTCTCCTTCAATACTGCCCATTTCATCTGAGCTCACATCTTCCCTCCCAACACTCCAAACACCTTTCCTCTCTAATGCACACTGCCTTCCTCAAGTCTTCAACTCTCTTCTGGCTCCCTTCTTTCATCCTACACACTTCAGACCAACCCCAGGGCCCGGCACGTGGCTGACATTCGGCCACCAGCTGCTGAGAATCACCCAGCTACCCGTCCCCACAGGCCAGTCACATTTGCTCAGCTCGTCCCCTGGCCCAGCCACTGTGCCAACACTGCACACAGGACGTCCCATCCTTGCCACCGTCCGAGGAGTAAGGTCGTGTGCTCCTTGCAGAGATGGAGACACTGAGTCTCAGAGAGGCTAACAACCTGGCAAGCTCACATTGCCAGTAAATGGTGAGCACTGGGACTCCAGGCTCGTGACCACACTCTTTCCACAGTTTATTTCTGGTCCCTTCCTTTGAACTGCATCAGCCAGGAGAAAGTCACTGAGTTCCTGGACTTAGGGACACTGGCTGCGCAGACACCTGCTTGCTATGTCGGGTCCCTTTTCTCTGACCACCATGCTAGCCAATGGACTCTATGAATTCAAAGGAAGGCAAAAAAAAAATAACCTAAACAATCTCAAAAGGAACCTAAAATAAGAATAACCAAACCCCAAATCTCAAAAAGGCTAAAATCTTGACAAGGGTGCTTTTTAGAGTTGGAGAAAAAGAAAAAAAAGAGTGGCTTCTTTCATTCAGAGGGATTAAAAAATTACATTCTAATTTAATGAATTAAATTTACATTAAATTTAAATTTAATAATTTAATGAAATGGTACAAGATGTACCCACCAATAGACTCTGAGAAATTAAGCCTTTCCATTTACATTATTCAACTTGCTTCAAAAAAAAATCCCGGGCCTCATGAGGCACTAGACCCTGAGAGTACAAAGAAGACAGTCATTATTGAATGTTTAGTACATGCCAGGCACCGTGCTACGTGTTTCACACACACATGACCTTATTGAATCCTCACGACCTCACGATGGCACAAGCGCCATCATTTCCATTTTGCAAATGAGGAAAATAGAGCCCAGAGTATATAAGCCATTGCCTCAAATCCGCATGGCTAGCAAGTGGCAGGTTCCAAAGTCCCTGCTCTTAACTTCTTTACTCTGTTATTCCCTTGGAGCTCATATGCCAGCAGGGGAAGGGGGGATCTACGGGCCTATCCTATGTAACCTGTGACAGATGCTGTACCAATAAAGAAGAAACAAAGAGCCCGAGGAAAGAGTGGAATGAACAATCTGGATGACCTGAGAAGGAGTAGCAGCAATGTAACACAGGCGGTAGCATCTAAATGGGGCTCTGAAGGATGAAGCAAAGAAGGATAAGGCATTCCAGGCGGAGGGAATCACAGGAAAGGACGGCAGAAGTGCTAACATGGACGATGGGTCTAGAAACCGTGAAGCATAAGGCGTGGCTGAGGCAGGCAGAGCCAAGGACAAGAGGAGGAACGGGGTTGAGGCTGCTCTGAAACTTACAACCAAAGGGAAGAACTTTTGAAGAGCCCACCAGAGGATGCTGGTACAGAAGGAGAAACCTAGGATTTTCCTACACCCAATTACAAGTCTAATGTTTACCTGCTACTTAATGCTAACAAGTATTTTAATGGATGTATGTGTTACTATGCAAAATCACTTACAGAAAGTCAGTATCCAGCAAAGCCCCTTAAAGAGGAAAGGCAATGCTTATGCAAAGCAAAAATTAGCATGTCTAACACTAGGACAGAACCACTAGTTTCCTGGGACCCACGGTCCTCCTTGCACATGGAGTGGTCTCTAGTGGGAGCCGTCTGACCTCCAAGCCACACAGTGGGCAAGTAGTGAAAGGCATGTGACTACACACAGTGGCGCTTGAAAAATGTTTGCTGGATACACCAAGGAACACTTAGGAAATGAATAAATAAGAACCTCTTTGGGGCACCTGGGTGTCTCGGTTGGTTAAACGTCCGGCTCTCGGTTTCAGCCTCAGGCCATGATCACATGGTTTGTGAGATCGAGCCCTGAGTTGGACTCTGCGCTGACAGCATGGAGCCCACTTGGAATTCTGTCTCTCTCTCCCTCTCTCTGCCCCTCCCCAGCTTGTGTGCAAGTGCGCACTCTATCTCAAAATAAATAAACATTTCTACCTAAAAAAAAAAAAAGAGTTGTTAAAGAAGAACCTCATGGCCCTTCTTCTTTAGTTCTAAGTCTTACTTCTGTCAAATAATTTTGAATTATTTTTCTTCTACATGGACTACACTGCTCCTCTCGCTCCCCCCCACCCCCCACCCGCCAAATTCATATGTTGGAAGCTCTAACCCCTCAGTGTGGGTGTATTTGAGACAGACTTAGAAAATGTTGTGAAGTCATAAGTAAAGGGTCCTAACCAATACCATGGTCTGGTGAGGAGGAAGACAGAGATCTTCTCTCTCCTCACACACACCTCAAAGAAAGGCCATGTGAGGACACAGCAAGGCAGCCAGCCATTCAGAAACAGAAAGGAGCCTCACCAGAAGCAGGCCAGGCCGACACTGACTTCTCAGACTTCCAGCCTCACAACTGTGAGAAATACATTTGTGGTCAGTTTACATGGTCTGTGGTGTTTGCTATAGAAGCCTGTGATCTGAATGTCCCACAAACTCATATGTTGAGATCCTAACCCCCAAAGACGATGGTATGAATATAGTGGGGCCTTTGAAAGGTACTTAATGTTGAAGAATGGAGCCTCATGAATGGGGGGTTGGTGCTACACACAACAGGCACTGATAAGTATGAGCTTAAAGAAATCTGCAACCAAGGCCTCACTAAACTGCCGCACTTGATCTCACACTTCCGGCCTCCAGAAACATAGAAGAATTTCTCCTTGCTCACAGTCTGTGGTACCTTTTGTTGCAGGTTTGAATTACATAGCAGTAGCTGACTAGACACTGTCTCCTTTCTAAAGCTTCTGAGCATCATTTAAGGCTCCCTGGTGATCTTAAAAGACATGGGGGGGGGGGGAGAAAAAAGAAAAAAGGAGAGAGAGAGAGAGAGAGAGAGAGTCAGTCAGTCAGTTCTGGTCCTTGCTTTCCACAATGTCAAACGTCCTGATGAAATCTGAAAAGTAAGTTAGACAATCCAGAAGCCTGAGCACTCAGGCCATGCGTAATATGCAAACACCGACACAGTATCCTGCAATTGTGTTTTGGTCTGTTTTTCTGGACATGTGTTGTATCATCTGAATGCAATGTAACGGTTCATATAAATGGCTTCCACTTTTTTTTTCTCTGGGTTGGCTTTGTGGTATAATCGCTAGACTGTCACAGGATCATTGCCTTAACATACTAACATGTCTTTGGGTCAGAAATTAAAACGACAACTACAGCCAATTGTCTCCTACCTACTCAGAATACTGACAGCTCAGGGGAAAAGTTCACCATCAAGTCTACCATGTTAACAGTGTATGATTCTGTGCTACCAGCTACAATCTGAACAATCTGTTCCGGTCAACAGGCAGCACCTAAACAGTTAATCTTCAAGGTCTGTGATGTGGACCTTGGTGAAACAGTGAAAGGGCATAAAACCTAACATGTTTTCGCTCCAGGTCACCCCCTTCCCTCTTGTGTGGGTTCTGCAGCACTGCGGCAATAGGCCCAGTTGAGGAAAAGGTGGCTGGGTTCGCTTCCCTGTGATTCCCCCAGAGTGGCCACAAGGAGGCAGACTGGTGCCACGGGAAGGTCACCAACGTTCACAAGAAGCTACACTGAAGGGACTCCCCTCCTTATGAACTCTTGAGCAAATCATTCTCTGAATTTCAATTTTTTCTTCTAGAACACAGCAGGCAGGGAGGGTGAGGGGGTGGGGAGAGCCCCGTAGGATAATTTGAAGTTTACAAAGAATGCATGTAAAGCATCTAGCACAGTACAGAATGTGTGTGCTCTGTCTCTTAAGCTTTATTTCGCATTCTCTCTTACACTCTGCAGGAACCCTACCAGTCCACCCCTTACTCAGCCATATTACTGGAGACAAATTACTTTACCACTTCGAACTTCAGTGTTCACATCTGTAAAACTCGTAATGCCCTCCTTGCAGAGTGATCATGAACACTGAAGTCACTAGACAGAAAGCATCATCACGGTGGCTGTCCTATTACAGGTGTTCAACATAGAGGAGGTCATTATTAAAATTATTATCATAGGAGAAAATAGCAAATAAAAAACCACAGGTAGCTAGTGTCCATTACATTTCTTTCAATACAAATAAAATTTTACCAAATAACATGTGTTGCACAGGCCACTCTGGCTCATCCTCTATTACTAACCTGAAAATGGGGGCTAGATACACATTTGGCAATTTGTTTAAACAAAGGTTCTTGGATTTTAACAAACTGGGAGGGTTCGATCACATCCAATATTTCTTCCAGCTCCCCAAGGAACATGACCTGTAAGTACATACAAAACGCAAAACCTCAGGTACTTCGTTAAAAAATCCAAATGAATGATGAGAAGTCATGAGAGTTTGTAATGTTTTAAGAAAAATTTACACATAAAACCAAACAGGAAAAAATTAGGCATTGTCTTACGTTAGATGTTCACTTCATAAAGAATTCACCAGAGGGTACTTATGAAAAGCAAAGTCCCTATAGCTTTGAAAATATGATTCCATTTACTTTGGAAAAATTCCTCTACGTGCTACATCTAACCCAGAAGGGGGGGGGGAGGGAGCACTTACATGTGGCGGCAGGGCCCTTGGGAAACAGCAATGTCCCTGGGGCTCTCCCCTCTTTTGCTCTCACCTAGCTAGCATCTGCCTCCCTATTCTTATTTTTCAAACAGTGGGAAAAGCAGTCGTCCTGCATGATGAACAAAGGTCCACAGTGGCGCATGCAGGTATCTGCTAAGTGTTTCAGCCCCTGCTACGTGCTAGGTGCTCCCGTAGGATTCACCAGTTAACAGAGACGGAGAGACACAAATGAGCAGGTTCACCCACATGCAGGTAGCATTTTAATCCCATTAGCACGCACTGAGCCCATCTCCACGCCTCCACACACTTACGTACACACACACACACGTAAGCGCGCACAACTGCCCACCATAAAGCACAACGAGTCTCAGCCTTGGCACTATGTGTCTCAAGAAACTGAGCTTTTAGATCACAAAATGGAGCCAAATCAATAGCACAGTCGACTGTTTTAAACACAACGGAAAACTTACAGAGAAATAAAAAAGAGTTACCCATTTAGGCACGGAAAAATAATTACCTTAAAAAAAATTAACTATGCAATTAAAATATGACATATGACAACGTTTTCAAATCTTGAGGTGCATCTGGGCAGCAATGTAGAGTTTAATTTTGTCTAACAGGTATTAAAAAGTCAGAAGACTTCTTGAAATTGTATAAAGTAGGGTTTTAGAGAATTGAAACTGATTTGAAAAGGAGGGTATTTCTGTTAAAAGTAATACAAAGTAGGCAGCTGACTCTTGCCATTTGTCAAGACACATAGAGGAGTTCTCCCCCAAGTCTCCCAAAATGTCAAGCTAACAGATGACCTTTCCTGCTGGGCCATTTTCCACATGGTTTCTATAGAAGAGTGAGTGCAGGTCTGGCACCCAGCTAGGCTCACAGCTAAGCTAAGAGACTTCCTCCCCTACAACCTCCTCACAGGGCACATGGCTGGTTAGGTCTTAGCAAAAGTACAAATGACTGAAGGTCAGGGATTTCCAGGGCCACTTCTGAAGAGCTGGAACTAGAGGTCTGTAACATAGATTACAATTGTAGACAGTAAGATCCCATCTATATTTTAAAATGGGGAGTATTTGGGCTGGTGGCTTTAGCACCTATCTACAGCAACACCAAAACCTGCACACCATGAGGGTGGCCACTAGAAAGGTGACTTCGATAAAGCTAGACAGTGGGGCACGTGACCGGAGCCTGCCTTGGGCTTCCCTGGGACTGAGCGGAGCGTGATAAAAGTTCAGGGCTCAGGAATCAGGGTGGTGGATTCTGACCCACTCCCTTCCACTTAGCGTCTACTCAGGCAGGCTACTTCAGCTCTCCATGCTTCCATTTTAAAACTAGTAACATGTGAATATTTACAGACCTGCCTGACAGAGATAAAATGAAGATTAGATGAGATCATGGATTTTTACACATACTTATCGGCTCAGAGCCTGACACTCTACAAAGTATTTAGTAAGTTATTAACATGCTGACATTAAGCACTTACCTCTTTTTGACTACATGTTTTAGGCCAAAATTTCATTAACCCCCTAATAACCTAAAATGAAAAGGAAAAAAACAATGGTACTTAATTGTCCACATAGACTCTATGAAAAGTAGTCATTTTGAAGTCTTTTGAAATTATGGAAAAAATACTTACTGGTTCTGTGAGTGAAGGATCTTTCTCCAGAAACTGTACTATGCAATATGCCAGCTGGAGAAACAGAAAAATGAAAGACAAAATTGGAAATGCTATATACTCAAAAGGGCTCAAAGATACATCAAAACTTCCTACAAAGTTTCTAGACTCTGGTTTTAGTAATTTCATGTTCAATTCATCCTAAAAATATAATATATATAAAATGAAATAAAAAGCTACTTTTTCAAGCCAAAGACTGACACTAATAACGCCCCAGGGGAATTTTGTTAAAAAAAAAAAAGGATACTGAGACATGAAGTATCCAGCTAATGAAAAGCAGAAATATCACATTCAGTATATTCTGAAAGTATCTCATCTACAGTCTAAGCTACATCGCATGGGCTTCCTTTCTCTCTGTGCCAACATCAACAGCACGGGGTTTTACTGTGGCTCCAGAAGAGTCCTACACGAAAGGCAGGCACTTACTAAACTTCTTGCTGACCGCCTAAAGTGGCCCATGCAGGCTGAAGCGGTTTCATGAAGAGATAAAAGGTTGTACCTGCCACAGTTAGAACCGGGAGAAATGTGAAGTTTTACATCTGATGCTAGCCCAACTAGGTAAGAATTCTTTTACATGATCATGAAATGTGATTTCAAAAACCAGAGGCAAGATTTGTAAAAGGGCTCGTAAAGATTTTTGGACAAGAAATCCACCCTTGCGAAACAACATTTTGATGGTGTTCGAAATTAGAAACATATGGACTAATTTTTCCTCGAAACACAGAATTTCACATTTAAAGAGAAACACTGCTCAGAAAAATGTGTGACATTTTTATGCAAACTCAAAACATTCCCATTGGTTTGGAATACTAAAATTAAAATGCCACTACATCATTTATCTGTCCCCTAGGGACACACGTACCACGCAAGGCAGTGTTAGCATGGAAACCAGACTTGGGACAAGACAGAGGATGCTTTTTAAAGTCATAGAGGCTAAAAATAAAAAGATGTGAAAGTACTGATTGATTTGTTTACTTGGGAGTGTGCTTATTTGCCTGGAGAAAGTGAGAAGGAAATAGTGAATTAACCAAGAGAGGGGGCAGAGAGCAAGTGACAGGCTGATGCAAATGAGGATGAGATCAAATATTCCAGAACACTCAAAAACGATTACAAGTCCAGAGATCTAAATCTGGAAAACACACATATTTTATTCTATGTTCAATATATAATTTTGTGCACTAGTCAAGTCATTAAAGTTCTCTGTAAAATGAGATGGCGGAATAGACGTTCCTCCCTCTTGAAAAATACTCCCATGATTCCCTTATGCATAGAAAACATTAACACACATTTTAATTTTCCTTGGGAAGTATTTTATACTTGAACGAGTTTGTTTGTTTGTTTGTTTGTTTATGTAAGGAAATATCAATATCAAAGAAACACTGAGTTTATAAACTTTTAATTTTGCTTCCAAAAGAACTTGCATAAAATTCTACCTGGGCATGGAAGAGTGATAGGCTCCTGACAGTGTGTAAAGGGATCAACACTTTCACCAGAAACTGTTTGTGTTCTGCCTTAAGAGGTAAAGCAAAGCCATTGATAATACTAGGAAAAAGAAAAAAGAAACATGAATTAGCAGCGTGATCACAACCAGCTAAACCGAGACCACCTGTTCATGGAAGGACCAGGTTAAATCGGAATCAGTTTCTGTTGGGTCCAGAACAACCTAAACCCCACCCCAGCGGCATCCAAGATTTCCCAGTTACTTCAAAGAGCACATTTAAGCAGGAAGGAAATTAAAGAAAATTTGCTGATGATCTCCTGGCATGGGCTCTCATGCTCTTAAACCGAGTAAATGATTCTGAGCAACAGAAAGCTGTTCGATCAAAGACTCTTTATTTTTCCTTCCCCCTAAAACTGCTCACTTATGACCCTTTCCGTTTGTAGACATCATTCCTGGAATTTCTTCTCAGACCAAGAATACCACAGATATAGAGCCCAGCCTGGGGAAATCACAGAAAAAACCATGGGACTCCACCTTCTTTTTCTCCTCCTATTAGGGGGAGAGACTAAGTAATCACATTGTCCAGTTACATTAACCTCCCTTGTGTGTAGAAACCTACACAACAGCTGTCTCTTTCCAATTCATTCCACTCGTCCAGGCAGCAGCTGTTCAAGAACTACACCTGGGTACATGGCTCCTGTGAAAAAGGCAATCCTTCCAATTTATCTGAACTTGTGGTCAAAAGATACGGCAAAGGACAGGTAGCCCAGAAACTAACAAGAAAGAATAAGGTGTTTGGGAGTAACTGGCCTGGCTGCAATCAGATGTACTGTCTCTGTAGCAATGAACAAACTGTTAGCTCTTTCAGTCATTCTGGTAGAATTAGGAATGCCTAATTGTGGAACAAGGGGGAACAAGAAATCACGTCTTGTAGGGTCAGCTGGGAAATAGGCTAAGGCACAAATTAGAGTACCCGATGTACATACAGCAAGAGATCTAGGTCAGAGTTGCCCTGTGCCACTTGAATCTAATTTGCAAAATGTTATTCACCTGAGATTAGCAATTAGCTAAAAACGTGCTTACCTTCCTAATATTTCCAGCAGTTCGGCTACACCATTGAAGTGTTCTGTTTCATAAACAAACCTTTTTTAAAAAGGAAAGAAAGAATAAAGTCAGTACATGATGTTCAAATATTTGATGTTTACTTAACACTTCTATGAAACCACCAATTTTACTCGTCCTCCCCCCCACCCTTCACTTACCTTAGAAAAATATTGTTAATCTGTTTTCGGATAAATGCTCTAAGACCAAGAAATTTGCCATAAATTCTGTGTAAGACTGTTTTTAAGTAGTCCCGTTCCCGAGGGTCTTCGCTGTCAAATAGCTCCAAAAGCTGTTGTAAATGAAAGACAGAGTAGAAGTCAGAAGTGGTTTCAGGAAAGGATTTAGGAGTTCTGCCACTCATGATTTAAAATCCCTCCCTCCTTTCCTTCCTCATAAGTTTATTATGGGCCAGGCACAATGCTAGTCTTTGGAAATACAAAGATAAATCAGTCAGACAAGGGGCTTACATTCTAATGAAGAGATAAACACAATAATAATCATCATAACAACAGTAAGAGGTAACACACATACTGCACTTAGCACGATTATCATGCAACTTTCTAAGCAATCTACTTATGTTAATCCTTCCTATAAAGTAGTGTTATCCCCATTTTACAGATGAGGAAATTGGGGCTCAGAGATCGTTGGGCAACTTGCCCTCGGTCTCACACTAATAAATGGCAAAGCTGGGGTTTGAAACCAAACAACCGATGCCCTAGAGTCTGTGATTTCAGCTGCCGCACTCCTATAACAAACTACCTACTGAGCTCATGTTCCAAACATACAGTTAGGATAAGCCTTCAGCTCTACCCGAGCATGCAGGTAAATGAATCAACCTAAACCAAAGCCAACATCTAAAAGCCCCCAGTGATCCTGGCAGTGTTCTCTTTGTAGAGCTTGGTTCTTGTTACACAGGTGTACTCACTTTGTAAACACTCACTGAGGTGAACATTTATGATTTCTGTATGTTTATTATACATGGATGACATTCTTTGAACTTCCACTCACTTGTAATCTACAGTCAGTAACTGAATCCTGATAAGATATCAACTTATGCCAACAACAAAACCTGTACATGAACGTTCACAGCGGCATGATTCACAATAGCGCAAAGTGGAAACAACCCTAATGGCCATCAACTAATGCACGGATGAGCAAAATGTGCTACAATGGACTATTATTCAGCCCACAAAAAGGAATGAAGTACTGATACCACACGGAGGAGCCTCTGAAACATCATTCTAAGTGAAAGAAGCCAAACACACGGGCCACATACTGTAGGAGCAGGCAAATCCACAGAGACAGAAAGCAGAATGAAGAATGTCCACTAAGGAGTATGGCGTTTCTTTGAGGGATGCTAAAACACGTTCTGTGATTATATAGCAGTCACGCATACACAACTTGGTGAATATACTAAACAACACTAAGTTGGAAACTTTTTTAAAAGGGTGGATTTTATGGTATGTGAATTATATTTCAATAAAGCTTTTCTTTTTCTTTCTTTTTTTTTTTTTAAATGACAGTGGACAGGTTCCTCCAGCTGAAGAACAAACTTGAAGACTGGTTTGAATTTTACAGAGTTCCTCATACATTCATTATCATCGCAATAAAACAAGACTCACAGTTTATACTAAAGTTGACTTTACAGCAAAACATTTCAAGAGCATACTGACAGTATACAAATGAACACAGACTACACTAATTACCAAAAAAGCTATCAAGACACACGTAAGCATGATTTCAGGTGATTAAGACATGAGGCTGACAGCAGAAGAATAACTCAGTGGGCAGTAATCAAATAAATTATCTGCTTTTGCTTGGTGCTTTTCGTTGAACAAAGACACAATTACAGACAAAGAATGGCCCTTCAAATAACGGCAGGAAGTACAAACTGAAGGAGAATCTTCAAAATTGGGCAGGGACAGAAATGCAATTTTTGGCTACACAATGTCATCCATCTATCTATCCGTCCACCTGTCTGTCCACTCAAAAATCAAGTACCTCAAATAAATATGTCTGCCTATTCAGAGCCAGCCACTGGGCAAGGTGTCAGAGATACAACGGTGAGCAAGACAGACACAATCAGCTTTCACAAAGCCAAGTCTAAACGAGCGATACCGGTGAACAGGCAGCATAAGTGGTTTAGGATGCTATATGAACACACAGCAGACAAATCCACTCTACTGGGGAGAAGTGGAGTGGTAGGGAAGGCTTCTGGAGGAAGTGACATCCAGACAGATCCATGAAGAAATGAGAAGGCTGAAGTGGAGGGAGAGCGTTCATGGCAGGCTCAACAGCACATACCTTCACCAGCAGCCCATCAGAATAGAAGCTGTTAAGACAGCTGCCGTCTCTCTGCCCCGTCAGCCATGCAGTCCATCAACCAATCAATCAATGTCCGCACATGCCAAGAACTGTCCTTGTTACTGTACACACACACACACTAGTGAAAAACTTGGGAGCCCACAGGGAAAGCAACGAGCAAGTCGACTAAACACTTCCACAGGGAACACTCTAAGAAGGAAAGGTATGTGGCCCCATAAGCGAAAAGGTCCCAGGGGCCCAGTATCTCTTATCTACCACACACACAAAATGACATAAGATCTCTAACCTACTCATCCTACTCCTTGTTAATGGAAATAATTAACCTTTTAAGTTCTACTTTTTAATCTGGTTTCTATTTTTAGGTGTTATAAAAGGGTTTAATGGGTAATTTGCAACCAACATAAGAGAAGGTTTGAGGGGGTGTACTGTTAGCAAAACCTGAATCAACTATGCTTATGCACTATTAATCTTAAGAGTTTAATGAAAATATAATTAAGCAAAAATTATTTAACTTGTGTTTTCATTAGGCACTCAAAAAACCATGCGTTACCAGGCATCTAACTTAAGTCATTTACAAAGCCACAAATAGTATCATCATATATGATGTCCTATGAGAAAGAAAGACAAATTACATTATATAAATTACTTTTTTGCAGCTCTATAGAACACATTTTTGGTGAGTTCATGATATTAAAGACAAAAGAAAAAGTATAACAACACACAAGTTGAGAAAAGGAGGAGAGGGATGAGCTCTGCTTTCCAAAACAAAATGACACACTTGTGCTTAGTCATATAGACACGGCCCACAAAAAAGCAACGAGAAATCTCATCCAGCATCTGTAAATGCCTAGTGAACTGCACTCCCTACAATATAGCAGGCAACTTGTCAGAGAAAAGCTGGAGAGTTTCCAAGGTGACTACAGAGCAAAGATAGACCTGTCAACATGCTGACTCCTAGTTTACAAAGCCAGCTTTCCTGAAGCTCACAAACAGGGATGAACTGGGGAGTGATTTAGCCAAAGAACCCTCCTTTGAACCTAATCATAAATCTCCAGGGACATGAAAAGGGCAAAATGAAAAAGGCAGTTAGGGTCTCCCAATCAGACATGGGAGACTGAAACTCTCTCCTGAGTCCCCCCTGAGATTAGAATAAAAGAATAAAAATGGAAGAAACCCACGGGGCAAAGAGGAATGGAGAGCAGATGAGACAAATTTACACATTTTTCAAAGATGGAAAGTGGATGGCAAGGGGTAACTATCTTAGGTTTCCTCTTTCTCCACTCTGCTAAGTGTTTTTCCATCCTGCCAGCAAGGAAGGGAGCCAACAAGAAGCAAGCCAGTTCACACTAGAGAACCCTTAAAAGGCTTAAGAACTGAAGACACCAGATATATTTGATTGCAAGGGTGTGGGGAGCTAAAAACAGGAGGGCTGGTTGAAAGTTTGTCGAAAGAGTAACAAGACCTCCCAGATCCGTGTCCCAAGCAGTGGACTAAAGATTTACAATCAAAATCTGGAGAGAATAAGCACCCAAGTCTCTCATCTTCAAGACACTGTACACAGCTAAGTGAAAAATTTAAAAAAAAAGGGGGGGGGATTAAATAACAGTCAGCATGCTGAAGCATGAGACTTCTGCCGGTCCCTTTGCCTAAGCCCTCAAAATCCTGGATGAGGTAGGAGATAGGAAGGTCCCTTTTGAGGGACCTCAGCCTCAGCCTCTTGACAGCCTCAAGAGGAAACACCTGTTGATACAGATATTTGAGGATTTGTCATTGAAAGAGCAAGGTCTCTGCCCAATGTGCTAAGTGTCTCCCATTTGTGTGCATGCATGCACACACGCGTGCTCACACACACACATGCGCGCTCTAAGAAGGCTCTTCAATGGTTCTAAGAAGCCTCTCTGATGACTAACATGTAACTATGAAGCCAAGGATCACCAGCATTCTAACACAAAGAGACCAAAACAAACAATCATAAAGACATCAGAGGAAAGAGCCACAATGCAAGCAAAGAAACAAACCAAAAAAAACAAACAAAAAAAAAAAACCTGCAAAAAAGAACTTATCCCCAGAAATAAACAAACCTATTGGATCCCTGAAACAAAACAGAGCAACTACACATGGATATTCAGAAAATAAAAAACTTCGGGAAATTCAAGATGTAACAGAAATAAAACTTTCAGAAGAACTGGAACATTACAATGAGCAAATCTATCCTGAAAGTATAGAAGAAGATAGTATATAGAAGAAAGAAGGTAACTAGAGGATCCATCTGGAAGGTCCAACACGTTCCAAACAGGCACAGAGAACAGACACACAGACACAAAAACAAAGCACATGAAATTATCTAAGAAAGAATTCAATGCAATTTTCCAGGAAAAGGGGACATGAGTTTCGATACCGCTAAGGGCCAGTATGTTCTCTGCACAATTAATAAACAAAGACCTACAGCAAAGCACATCAGTTTGAATCATGTGGACACGGGGGACAAAGAAAAGATCTCAAAAGCGGAGAGAGAAAATAGGTCACTATAAAGGATAAGGAGTCCCAGTTGGCACAGGCCTTCTCAATACCAATACTGGAAGTAGAAGACAATCTAGAACTCCCTAAAACATCTGAGAGAATATGAGTTCTAACCCATAAAGCTATCCCTAGCCAAAATGTCAATCAAGTGTGTGGGTAGAATAAAGACATGTTCAGAGAAGCAGGTCTCGAAAACTTACAACCCATTCATACCTTCTTAGGAAGCATCTAGAAGATGTATTCTGCCAAAATCAAAGAGAGGGAGATAAGCAAGCAAAGAGTGCAGAAGCATAGTGCAGAAGAGTGGCAAAGCGAAATCCCAGGATAACTACGGTGGATACAGCCTAGAGGAAGCCACCAGTGCCAACCAGAGCAAGATGCCCAGAGCTCCAGCTCTGGGAAGGAGACCTTCAGGGAAAACAATGGAACTACAGACTAGCCAAT